ATTGCACAGAATCCTGTGTAATACAGCGGTCTATCAGCAGGCTGTCCTTGCAACCTGCCATGCCCTTCTTGGCACCACGCTGTTCGTGTATCTGCTGGAAGACCGGATCAACAGACCTCAGTGTCCTAGCATACAAGATACGTGTAAATATCTTGTAGCAGGAGTTGAGGCAAGTGATCGGCCTATAATTCCTCGGGTCGGAAAGATCCCCCATTTTGGGGATTAGCACAGTACGTCCCTCGACCAGTCGGGAATCTGCTGCCCCTCGTTCAACCATGAGTTGAAAACTCGCGCCAGACGGCGGTGAGTGGAAGGAAATTTCTTCCACCACCAGTTGTTAATGCCGTCTGGGCCCTGGGCAGCGAAGTTCTTGGTACCAACAAGTGCTTGTTGGACTTCCTCCATACTGATTGCCGGGCACACTTCTTCTGGCTCTTCAAGATGTCTGTGACACAGAGCTTCGAAGTGTGCAATTGATGGAGTATCACTATTGAATGGACGCGTTGTTTCGTAGATTCCCTTCCAGAAGGTTTCGACATCTTCTACAGTCGGCGAATTCTCGATAACATGCTGTGGCTCTTGAAAGAGGCGGGAAGGATTCGTACGGAACAAATTGTTTTGTTCCATACTCCTCACCCGCCTCTTCAATGTTTTCTTTATCGCCATGAGCGCTCGGATACTATCTAGAGAGTGCTGCTTGATGGTAAGCATCAATGTCAGATTTAGAGTAATGGTGTTGACGTCTTAATCCGGCAGCTATGCGCCGGATTCTGGGAGTAAAAACTCCACCAGTCGTCTTATATTCCACCACACTCTGGATTCGAGAAGTGTGTTGTCTGGCCGACTGTATCTTGCTCTCGATTTTTTGGACACGCCGCTTGGCTTTCTCGATATTATTGTTATTATTATTTTTTTTTTCGGTTGCCCGACGATGGACAGTCCTCCCGTGGCCTCCGACGCCTCACGGGAGTCGCGCCAGCACATTAACCACAGCCACTCCCCACATCCCGCAGGGTTAGTGGACTGTAGGTTCCGGAATCGTGTCCCTAAGCAGACGGAGAGAACCAAGAATGACCGCCTTCTGCATTTTGTAAATCAAATATTTTTTTATAATTTTCATATATTATACATTGGAGCATACGAGAGAATTAACCTTAAAACGGCAAGATCTCGGTTTGAAATGCTTCAAAATCTAATTCAATTTAGGCAGTTTTTGCGTTTCCCCGTATTGTCTCCAAAACGAAAGCCAAAATCAAAATATTTACTATCATTTCTGAACACAATGATGTCGGATTTATAATTATGACTAATAAATAATAAATAAGTTATGCAACTGAATATAACGTGAATTTCCTGTGATGCCTTTATAGTCGTGTACTAGTCGTCCCCATACCAATAACAGTTGCGTATTAGACAGTACTAAATAAATGTCATACAGGGTGTGATCGGCGGTATAAAGATATATAATATATTTATAGAAAGTCATAGTATGTTTGGATGAACCTAAATATGATAAATTAATTACTGCTAGTTTCTGATTCCGTTTTCAAAACTAAAGAAACAATAAGAAAGTTGGGTACAAAAATTTAGCACAAAGGCCACTGGTGAAAAAAATGTAAAACCAGTATCTGTTAAATTTTTTTATGTTATCTTTATGATAAAACTGTATGTTTTTAATACCTCGAAAATGAACTCAAAGGCCTCTGAAGATTGCTTCGCATGTATGTTAAAAAATTGTGACAATTAACATACACACCAGGCAATCTGCAACGTCCCTGCGGATTGCCTTATGAGTTGGGGCTATAACTCCGAAATTTTAAAATGACAAATTGCAAAAAAAATGTCCTGTCTATATTAGACATGCAGCTCTCCCCCATTTTTTGAGCTCACCTGGCAAGGTTCAAGAAATGACGGATTAAGAGCTGATAATTAGTAGTAACCTAGTTAGTTAATTACCAAACAAAGTTCTTAAAATCCTCTAGAGCTCCCACAGCACAAACTTTAATAACTTCCGTGAATTAATACTTAACTTGTTTGTTTTAATTATCTGGCATGTTTATTTTATTTCCTTATCGGAGTTCCTGTGTAAATAAACACAGAGTGACATAACTTTATTGTAAACTATTATTATGAACCGGGTACTTTTCACACTGATTAAATGTTTTTATAGCAACACTCCTTAGTAGTTTGTTAGGCAAATATTACAGCCAACACCATATGTTTACGTAATAGATACTACATAAAAACCAGAGGGGTTAATCTGTAAATAAATCATCAAAATGCCGTCTTCAATAATAAATACTGATAATGTGGCGTATAAATGACGCAGATGATGGTAAATTTTATTTATTATGGCCGGTTAAAACGCTTATTATAGCCTGTTTCTTGTTGACAAAGAGTAATAAATAACTACCGGTTGTGATAGGAAAATAATGTCAGTAATTTTAAGTGGATTTTTAGGAAATAAACTGATTTTTTTTTACAAGAGACTGCCCTGCTGCGGTCCTTGCATAGGTTGTATATTTTGCGACTGTTTATTTTAAACCACTTATTGTGGTTGTTTATTTTAAGTCACTTTTTTGTGCTGCTGCACCACATCTATTTAATTAGTATTGCTCGAAGGACCAGAAATAAACATAGTTGTTCATTTCAAAATTATGTATTTAACACTATTTGGTATTTACAAAGTTTAACAGAGTAACAAACTGTAGCCCATAAGGGTTGCTTAGTGAATGTGTATCGTGTTGAATCTTAACTATGATTGATTTTGTTATATCTTATGTTGACTATTTATAGGAAACTAAACTAATTACTGTTATACAAAATACCTTGTCCTAAGAACTGAGGTAATACCTCACAATAACTTAAGACTAACAAACAGATTAGAATTCCCAAATTTAATGACGGTGTAAATCGGACTATTACAGATAGATAGGAAATCATATTATAAAAGGGTCAAAGTTATAAATGAATACATAGGTACATTCATTATTGGAACATTATGTTATCCTAGAAGATTAAAAATAATCTGCTTATCTTAATATTAGATTTAAATGCAGATTTCAGATTCACAGAAACTAAAATTACTAACATATATACAATTAACAATTTATATTGCCGATTTGTGAGTTCAATAAACCTAATACTACAATCTTAACTTTATAATTCCATATACTTATCAAAAAGGTTCGGAGTGGTTGCTTAGACAATTCAAGTACTTGTACCAACCATAAAATATACTGAGTGAATCGAACAGTACTAACTTATGAATTATTTTTTGAGGCACTGGAACAAATAGATTTTATTTTAGATACAAAAATACTTGTTTTCGGAGATTTTAATATATCCCACTATGTTCACAATGATAGTAATGATAAGAAAACCAATCTAATTACCGATTTCGCACACTTCATTGATATACAACAACATAACGGAATATTTAACAATTTAGGTCGTTTACTACTTGATCTTGTTTTCTCAAACGTAACATGTGAGATTTCTCGAGATAATGCGCCATTAGTACATGAGGACCCTTTTCACCCAGCTCTTTTCATTAAAATACAACTTCCCCCAAAATGTACAAACTTTGAATCTGCTAATGATCAAAAAGCCTATAACTTTAAAAAAATCTAATTATCCAGCCCTATATAATGCTCTTTCAGAGACGGATTGATACTATTTACAAAATTTTTCGGATGTTAATTTAGCCGTTGAAGCATTTTACATTAAATTGTACAGTATTTTGGACCAGTATGTAGCTCAAATTATATTTTATAAAAAGGACTTATCCAAAATGGTACACTAGCGAAATAATAAATAATATTAAACAAAAATATAAGCATTTCCGTAAGTACAAAAAAACAAACTATTATCACCATTTGGAACAGTTTAAAAGACTTAGAACTTTAATAAAACAACATAGTACACTGAAAAACCGACAAAAACGTTTCAAAAATTTTTTTTTAAGGTACAACCACATGGGACCTTCACAGAATAATAGATTAGGCCCTTGGCCATCTAAAATGGCCAATTACAACATTTTTTGGGAGGTCCAACTTTTTTTATTATGAAAAATGTCATAAATCTGTCAAAATTAATTTTTCGTACTTTTTCACACATCTCTCACGATATCTCCGGAACCAATTGAGATAATCAAGTTTTTTTTTTTTAGTCGATAAAGGAAACGTGAGCGGAGGTGACTGAATTAATTTAGTCTTTATGGAAAACCTAGTTTTTTATAAAATTGGGTAATACTTTAACATTTATTTTTCTTGCAGTATTTTTTTCAGTAAGCGAAAAACTTTTTTTGTTTTAAGGAATTTTGCCACAGTATATGCATACAGAATAAAATTAACACATCAAGGAAGTTTTTAAAAAAGAACGCAATACTCTACGACTTATACGTTTCAAGTTATTGTTATTTGAAATTAAGTTTCTGCGGGCAGGATATTTCCCCCGGTTCTACTGTGCTTTAATCAGTGTGCTATGCGTGTTGTGGGTGCATACTATTAAGTATTATTTTTGACATATCTTTAATATAAATTTTATTTTCATAAGCACTTAGGTTTTACTTATCATTATTTACATTGCACAATATTTAAAATACATTATATTTATATATTACAACCTAAAATTTAATTAAAAAAAAATACGAAATAATTATTTATTTTAAAACATAAATTTAAAACTTTTTATAAAAATATTTTAAAAATCGTCAACGTCGGAATCTAAAAATATCTAGACAGTTCCTTGGTTGCAGCAGTTTGCATATTTGCACACACTGCAGCATTTCAAACCTTGAGCAAAACAGGTACATCTGTTGTTACAGACCCTGTCGGAACATCTTATTGACAAACTTTGCCTTACAATATCGGGCACAGATTTTTGACTAGAAAAAGTTGCCTTCCAAATATTTTCTTCAAATGTCCAACCGTATCGAGTTGGATCTTCCATCTGCATGTATTGTATATGGCTATTTTACTAAATTTTTAATTGATACAGACACCTGGCTCCGTGGTCTAGAGGTACTTGCCTCAAAACTTCGGGGTCCCGGGTTCGATTCCCGGTCGAGGAACTGGGATTTTTCTGTGAGAGAGATTAATCGTAGTATACTCGGACATTGGGTGTGTGTCCATTGTCTCTAAAAGTGTAGCCCTCTCCCATACAAGGTCATTCCAGACCTTCAGGGATAAAGAGGGTTGTAATTTCATGTGATGTTATTATTATTATATTATTATACCTAAAAAGAAAATAATTACATGTAGGTGTTTTGTTTCTTTTTTAATTGGTACGGGCGATCTAGAAAAATAATTATTACCTTTTTAAATGTTGTCTAAAAGCATGGTCGGTAGGAGGCAGCTCAGAAGCTGGCCGAGTTGTACTTGTTGTTAAGTCCCAACGCAGTTCATTTAGGGATTTTATATTTTTGTTTTTATTCTTATATAAATAAAGCGTATATTTTACCCCTAATTCCATCGCTTTATCCTCTGACAGAAAAGGAAGGTTTTCTAAACCTTTTAAATTATTTAAATTTTTATATAAAACATAGAATGCCGTTTTCTTCCCTATTTTATACATGACATTAGTTGTGTCACAACCAGTTAGGCAATGAATCGTTAATACTTTCTTGCAAATTTCCTCTCCTAAATTTGCCACAATATTGTTAATTGACAAAAAAATGTATATTCTTACTATGTCCTAATTGTATAAATATCAGTGGCGGCTGGTGAAATTTAGGCTATGTCATATCTCAGTATTGGAGCATGGGACCCAAGCGATACTTAAAGGCGTAACTATCAGGACTAAATGAGGAAGTTTTTGCAAAAAAAAAATTGCGCTTGAAATTTGCGAAAAAAAAGTTGGAAAAAATTTGTGCCCCCAGGTTATTTTTTAAACGATTTGTAAAATATTTGTGAAACATTTTTTTTCAGAATCAGGTGGAAAATATAAGTTCACATTTCAAATTTCATCGAAAAATATTGGTTTTCTATAAAGTTACACCGTTTTGAAATTTTATTTTAGATTCATTTTTCACTTTGCAAACTTCAAAACGGTGTAACTTTATAGAAAACCAATATTTTTCGATGAAATTTGAAATGTGAACTTATATTTTCCACCTGATTCTGAAAAAAAATGTTTCACAAATATTTTACAAATCGTTTAAAAAATAACCTGGGGGGCACAAATTTTTTTCCAACTTTTTTTTCGCAAATTTCAAGCGCAATTTTTTTTCTGCAAAACTTCCTCATTTAGTCCTGATAGTTACGCCTTTAAGTATCGCTTGGGTCCCATGCTCCAATACTGAGATATGACATAGCCTAAATTTCACCAGCCGCCACTGATAAATATATTCCTTTGGGACATATCTGGTGTTTCACAGTAATAATGTAAAAGCAAAATCAGGACATCAGTATCAACAGATTTTACCAGAATTGTATTACCTGATTTTAATTCTGATAACATAAAATAAACATTCCATTGTTAAGCATTAAATAATATGTAAAAACTCAATAAAAATAATACTCATTCGTATTCACATTACACAAAAGAAAAGTTTGTTTCTAACTGACAATATACGTATAATATAAGATTACTTGTATTCAATAGTCTACACTCTACACACTTGAGTGGCGCCGCAGTGAGGCGCATCTAGGATCAAAAAACTCGTAACTTTAAAAAACAAAATCTCGAAAACTATAAGTCGTAGAGAACTGACTTTTTTTTAAAAAACTTCCTTGAAGTGTAAGCTTTATTTCATACACATATGGTATGACAAAATTCCTTAAAATAAAAAAGTTTTTCGCTTACCGAAAAAAATGCAGCAAGGAAGGTAAACGTTCCAGTTTTACCTAGTTTTACAAAAAAATTAAAATTTCCATAAAAACAAAATTAAAGCAGTGACCTTCGCCCACATTTCCTTTATCAATTAAAAAAAAATACTTATAATTATCTCGATTGGTTCCGGAGATATCATGAGGGATGTGTGAAAAAGTAAGAAAAATTAATTTTGACAAATTTATGACATTCTTCGTAATAAAAAAAGTTTGACCTACAAAAAAATGTTGTAATTGGCCATTACAGATGGCCAAGGATCTAAGCTATCATGCTGTGAAGGTCCCAAGTGGTTGTACCTTAAAAAAAATTTTTTCAAGAAGGAAGCTACTTTTTCCCCGTTTTACAGTGCACTAACAGACAGATTTAGAATATCAAAGGTACCTCTCTAATATTCAGTCCTCAATATCATCGCATTCAAAGATATTTTGGTCATTTGCACAATCAAAACGGCAACAAACACGAATAGATACCTGGTAAAATGTCATATAAGGATAATAACGACGATAATCCACAAGATATTGTAAACATATTTGCTGCGGAGTTTTTTAGTTTAGTATATACCGTTTCATGTGATACACAAGACAATCACGTGACTATACACAATAATAACTTTGAACTTTTCAGTATTACAAACATCTCGATGTTAGAAATTCAAGATGCTATAAAAAAGTTAAAGAACAAAATTACATCTGGCCCAGACCTTATACCTTCCTTTTTGGTGAAAGATTGTGCCAATTCATTCTTAACACCGTTTTTAATTCTGTTTAATATTTCAATAAAAACATCAATTTTTCCCAACCGATGGAAGGTGGCAAATGCGTTTCCGATTTTTAAAGCAGACGGTACGTCAAATATAAGCAATTACAGACAAATTTCTCTTCTGTGTAATTTTGCTAAAGTTCTTGAAATCATTTTATACAATCGCATCTATATGTCCACCAAAAACATATTGTCAGTAGACCAGCATGGCTTTGTATCTAACAGATCAACTACTATGAACTTAGTAATTGAGTCAAACAGTTTCTAATATTCTAGACGAACGAGGACAGGTAGACACTTTGTATACCGATTTTACCAAAGCCTTTGATCGCATCGACCATCAATTACTCTTACAGAAATTAGCAAATTATGGATTTAATTTTAATCTATTAATTACTTTCTATCATATCTAACAGGCAGATAACAATTTATATTTTACAATGGATATAAATCGTCAATATATTTAGCCACCTCCGGAGTGCCGTAAGGTTCTAACCTTGGGTCTTTACTATTTCTATTATTTATTGACGATTTATGCACTGAATTGCGACAAATTAATCTTTGCACATGATTTAAAAATATTTAAGAGGATAAATACCGTAAACGATTGTATATATCTTCAAGAAACCTTAATATCGTCAGCAAGTGGTGCGGCCTGAACAAAGTTGGTATCAATGCTGCTAAATGTAAAGGAGTGTCTTACACAAAAAAGAAAAATTACTTTAACTACAACTACAGCATTAACGACACTGTTTTAGAGCGTATACAAACAATTAAAGATTTAGGTATGTATATTTTTGATTCTGAACTGAGTTTTGTCGAACATATACATATCAAATCTAAAGAGGCAATCAAAATGTTAGGATTTATCATAAGAAACTAAATCATTTACTAATTTAAACTGTTTAAAATCATTATATTATTCTTATGTGCGATCAAAACTTGAGTACGGATCCATAATCTGCAACCCTTACTATCTAGTTCACAAAGGCGCGTTAGAGCAAATTCAAAGAAAATTTTTATCATTTAGAGACACAGGAATATATCCTGAGAGGGTATACCCCTCTCATAACAATTATCTTCTAAGCACACTTCATTTTGAAAGTTTAGAGTACCGGCGAATTTGTTCTATGCTACTTTTTCTATACAAATTATTACATAATAAAATTGCCTGTCCTCAAATTCTTTCACAAATTAATTTTTTCACTCCAAGAATGCATTATCGACAAAATCCCACATTTTACACTAAACAAGCCAATACCAATATGTTGCCAAAATCACGAATACATTGTATGTGCCATTATTTTAACAAATTAAGTAAACATTGTGATATAAACCTTTGCACACAAAATCGGCTGGTAAAATATACTAAGCAAACTTTTAGTACATAATTTTAGCTTACATAGTATTCCCTTTATTGATTGTTTCTTTGCGTGTTATGTAGATATACTTTTTTTCTCATCGTTATTTATATTATTTTATTGTTTTTTCAATAATTAGTTCTTATTTTGTTTTTCTTATTACTATTACTATCACACTATATTTTTTTTTAAATTTAATTTTCAGTTCTTTTAATAACATCTATTGTACTTATGTTTAATATAAAGATTTGTTACTAAATATTATAAAATATTTGGTAGTATATTTAAGAGTAATTTAAATTGTCCTGTAATTGGGTATTACCTGTTGGGCAAATAAAGCATATTATTATTATAAATTACAATAGGTTTACGCGCGGCCTGGCAGGTAAAAGGTTGAAATAGGTGTGTGATTGTGAAGAAAAGGTAGAGGTCAGTAGGTCAAGTTCATGATCAACGACAAACATTTAGTTTGAGGACCAAATGATAAGGATGGTGGCCAGAGGTTAAGGTTATAGGTCAATAATGTCAACGCTAAAGAGCAAACGTTGAGAGAATCAAGATCGTTAAGGAGACAACTTTTAGTGTAAATTTTGTTTTATTATTTGACCCAATGACAAAAATTCAAATTTATACATAACCGATTTCTCTCCTAATTTGGCTTTGAAAAGATATTAACGACTTTGCTTTTTTTCGAGAAATAAAGAAAATGGTGTTCCGTTTACTGCATAACTTTACCAACGAAAAATAAACATGTAATAATTACAAGTTATTTTCTCAGTAACAGTATGAGTGAATATTTTAAATAATACTAAGTAAAAAAGTTTATTAAATTATAGTTTCACAAACAGGGATTCAAAAGCCATTGATACATACTGATTTTTCTCCTAATTTGACTTTTAAATAATATCTACTACATTGTTTTTTCCAGAAATGAAGGTTACTGCATAATCACACAGAAAAAAAAAAGAAGTAATAGTCAATAATCTTTATTTTGTCAGTAAGAATATGCATGAATATTTTACATAATGCTATTTAATAAAGTGTATTACAACTTCAAACAAAAACATTTTTCTTTATAGTAGGTAAATGTATTTGTTAAAGAACACAATAAAAATTATTTCT